CGTCTGTTAATCGCCGACCACGCCCCTTCGCCCCCGTCAGTCGTCGATCGCCTTCACCTCCGAAGCGTCACCCACGCGACCAAGTGGCTGAGTGTTGAGAGAATTAGAGAGATGATGCTGTTTGGGAAGAATAAATTACAGATGCTTTGATCAAGTGGGGAACAACCGTCTCAACTCTCATGGTAGTTGGAAGTAGGAACAACAGTCTCATGGCATTTGGGAAGTGGAACACCGCTACTCTACAGCACTAACGTATAACGCCTCACTAAACAAATAAAAATAATAATAAATTAGGCGCTCCCAAACGTCTTTTTCAACATTGACTAGGGTGGAAATAGGTCAAACCCCTTGTATGAGCCTATGTTCTGGCCTAATTAAGACCAAGTTGGGCCTAGTTCGTTTAGTAAAAAGACCAGACTTGAACTAATTTCAAAGCCTATTAAACTAAACAGGCACGCATATATATATATATATATATATATATATATATATATATATATATATATATATTAGGCTTGACCTTCAGGCCTGACCTATTCTCTCTCTCTCACTCTCTCTCTCTCTCTCTCTCTCTCTCTCTCTCTCTCAGTCTCTCACACACACACGGAGCGTTATGTTGTGCATCATGATGCACACGGATGCAAAAACGACGTCGTTTTGACGTCGACTTAAAAAAATACCATAACTTCATAACTATACATCCAGAATTGCATAACTACACATCCATAACTTCATAACTATACATCCAGAATTGCATAACTATACATCCATAACTTCATAACTATACATCGATAATTGCATACTAGACATCCATAACTTCATAATTATAAATCCAGAATTGCATGCATAACTACACATCTATAATTTCATAACTATACATCCAGAATTGCATAACTACACATCCATAACTTCATAACTATAAATCCAGAATTGCATAACTACACATCCATAACTTCATAACTATACATCCAGAATTGCATAACTATACATCCATAACTTCATAACTATAAATCCAGAATTGCATAACTACATTATGCATAATTACACATCTATAACTTCATAACTATAAATCCAGAATTGCATAACTACACATCCATAATTTCATAACTAAAAATCCAGTATGAATGAACTAAAAATCTAGACGAATGAACAACATAATGCTGTTGTTGGGAATCGAAACTGATTTTTTAAAGTGGAACGCGCGTTTTTAGTCAAAACGACACACACACACACACACACACACACACACACACACACACACACACACACACACACACACACACACACACACACATATATATATATATATATATATATATATATATATATATATATATATATATATTTACAATATAACCCCATGTATAATTACCAAACCATAACCCTCCACCTCAAAATCTCATTCTAAATTATGATTTAACTATAAATGTTGCTACTAATCCTGCTAAAAGTGTTCTTATTGTTTTTTTTTTTTATTAGTTGTTCTTACTGTCATAATATTTAATAAAATGTCGCAACTTAATTATGTGAGTTGATTGTTAATTATTTATGAGATTATATAGGATAACAAATGAAAATACAATTGAGTTTATTTCTAAATAAGTTAACGAGCATGCTGAAGTCGTAACTTGTTTTATTTTATTTTATATTTTAATGCTATTATGTTTGCATTGTGGTGATATACTTATGTAATTATGTATTAGTTTTGTATTATGTGTATTTCTTAAATTATTTAGATATACTTTTTTTTGGAAAGCATTTAATTTAGATATACTTATTAAAGTTTTTTTTTTTTTAAAGTCTTAATATGTAGGCTCAAAGTATGATTTACTTTGAAGCCTTTTTAATGCCCTAAATATTAAACAGGCTTTTAAAAAGGCTTCAGGTCAGGCCAGACCAATTGTAAGCTCAGGCTTGAGCCTAACAAAAAGCCTACATACAGGCTCAACCCAAGCTTAGGCTTTAGATTTTCATAACAGGCCCAAACCTAATTTTTTAAAACTCGGCTCGGTTCGGCTCAGCCTATTTTCACCTTTAACTATAAACTCATTTGACAATATACATATCTATATGAGCTCTACTATTCAGTTTTATTTTATGCACAGCATAAACATATTATCATGGTTCACACATTTGCATGTGTGAACTATGATCCACCGAATAATAATTGGTTTAACCCTAAGTGTGGCTATGTGTTTGGCAAATCTAAGTGATAAGTTGGTTGAAAAATGAAAAGTAACATGTTAGCTGGCTGTTTGTATCACATCATGATAGCTCATCATGCAGTGCCCATATTTGACTCTTCTGCTAATTAAGTTGGGTGTTGCGTTGCAATAACAAGTAGTGCCCATTCAAGTCATGAGCTGGTGGCCGCTGCGTGCCGGCCTGCTGGAACATTTAATACATTATTATTATTATTATTATTATTATTAAGTGTTTGGGCATTTAATTTGAGTTAGTGCCAATTTAAGTGACCTCGTTCCCGATGCATCACATCATCCTTCAAACTGTGTTCACTACTTAATAATCCTACGCGTATGAGCCAACCTATGTATACCTTCAATAATTCAAATCCACATTCATTTGCTCCCGATCCGTATTTTGTTTATATATATATATATATATATATATATATATATATATATATATATATATATATATATATATATATATATATATATATTTTATATTTGAGAAATTAAAAGTGAAATTAACTTTAGTTGCAGATCGAAAATGACTAGAAAATATGTTGCTGAAAACATATAATAAAAGAATAAATGAAATAGGGGTTTGATTGCCAGTGCAATTGCATGCTTTCCTGTTGCCTACATTTTAGCTCCTATTGTTGAGGCTATTGCAGATTTTGACAAACCTAAAATTGCAGTTTCAAATGCTGATGTAGAATGACTCTGCTGATCCGCCAGGAGAGAGGCAAAGAGAAGCTTAGACCTGCTTAATTTTAGGCTTTTTATTGACTTCTGTTTGAATTTGTTTTGGTTGGCTAGAAATAATTATTGAATTGAATCTGTTTTGGTTGGTTATGACTGGACTTAAATAATTAGATTTATAAGCTATCTATCTACTTCTATAAAGGATATCAAGGCAAACGCATAGTTCAAAATGTTTTTTTTTTTTTTTTTTTAATATGTAAATGGAGATCAAGCTGCCTTATTATTATTATTTACTTTTGAATTTAAATTTTACAATTGATCAAATTTTATTTCTAATTATTAAAAATAACTTTTAGTAAAGATTATAAATGAGATATTTTAATTTGAACAGATACCACAATGTAATATACTAGAGTCAATAGCATTAAAAAGATAAATGAGATATTTTAAAACAAAAAGTATTACATCTTTAGTGGTCAAAATATAAATGTAATCAAATTTAAACATGTATGTTAAAGCTAAAAAAAAAATTGCACTAGTAATAAGATCACAAGTGAAATTATTCTTCTACTAGTATATTTTTTGAGTAATAAATTTGAAAGAGCAGAACTCTCCCTTTCCGAGAACCGTAAGTGGAATCAAGTTAGTTCTCCCTAAAAACATAAGATCACAACCACCGTAAGGACCTAATTCTCCCTTCTTTTTTTTTTTTTTTTTGTCAGGCCATAGGTGTTCTAAGCAGGTCCTACCGTATCATACTTAAACTAATTCCTACTCACACTGGATCAGCCAAATAAAAGGGCAAAGTACTGACCAGATTAATTTTTTCATACAAGAAGAGGTTTGAAGAGTCGTTATGCTGTGCATCAATGTGCACCATGCATGGTGCACACGGATGCAAAAACGACGTCGACTTAAAAAAAAAAAATCAGAATTGCATAACTACACATCCATAATTTCATAATTATACATCCAGAATTGCATAACTATACATTCAGAATTGCATAACTATACATCCATAACTTCATTACTATACATCCAAAATTGCATAACTATACATCCAAAATTGCATAACTATACATCCATAACTTCATAACTATAAATTCAGAATTGCATAACTTCATAACTACACATTCAGAATTACATAACTACACATCCATAATTTCATAACTATAAATCCAGAATTGCATAACTATACATCCATAATTTCATAACTATACATTCAGAAATTATGCACAACATAATGTTGTTGACGGGAATCGAAACTGAATTTTTTTTTTTTTAAATTGGACGCGCGTTTTTAGTCAAAACGACGTCGTTTTTGCATCTGTGTGCACCATGCATGGTGCACACGGATGCACAACATAATTTGCCAGGTTTGAACTCTCGACCCAATTGTTATACCGTGCACCAAGGCGCACATAGCAATGTGCGCCCCGCGCCTCCCAAAACGACATCGTTTTGGTGCATTGTTAAAAAAAAATTCTCTATTTCGAATACACATAAACTCATAACAGAATACACAGAAACTCATAACCGATGCACATAATCTAACATGATACATAATACACAGAAACTCGTAACTGAATACACAGAAACTCATAACTCATAACACAATACACAGAAACTTTTAACTGAATACACATAATGAAGTTTTGGCTGTTTAGACCGACGGAATGACGTCAGCAATTGAAAACGTGCGCGTTTTGTGCATGGGCGCACATAAGTGCACGATATAAATTGCCACTCTCGACCTCTCTTAAGAGATGAGAATGCACGACCACTCACGCCAACCAAGTTGGTTTCCTAATTCTCCCTTTGACAACTCGTATAATCGTATAAGAATATAAGCAAACAATGACAAAACATATTATTAAGGCATGAAACTGCAGCATTTCCAGTATCAGAATATGTTCACAAAATTTTTCAAAAAAGATAAGTGCACTACATACTGTGCACTTGATTCCCCTAACACTATAAGAACCACAGGGGCACCACATATATATATATATATATATATATATATATATATATATATATATATATATATATATATATATATAAACGTTGAAATATCTCAGGTTGGTTTTCATATTTGTAACTTATTCATCACTTTCTTCTGAATTATCAAACTGTATCATGCCTCCAACATAGATACCAAATTCAACTGTACAGGCATTGCAAAGAAGGCATCAAATGAGAGCAAGTATTAAGGTGTGTCTTTGAGAACGAGCAACAAAGTTTTGAATCTTACTTGAGTAACATCTCCAGAACCAGAAGACTATAACTAATAACTTCGTCTTGTTCATAACATCCGAGCTCTGGTCCGGACAGAATATCCCGCGGATTCTATCCTTTGAGAACACCTAGCTTCTCCAATGAAGCACGGAGTTCTGAGCTGCTGCATTCTTCAGTTGTCTGGATAACGTTGGGGCTGTTGTAAGGGACGACGTCTGTAAGTGGATAATTCCTATTCGAAAGAAGTTGACTGCTAGAAACACTGCACACTCCTTTCAGTATTACAGCTTTCCTTAGACCTCCAAGCAATCCTTCATAGTCGGTGTCCCCGCTTTCGCCTACAAAGACCACCAACTTTGACAAGTCCATACCCCACCGCAGATACAAGTACCTGAGAACACAATTTCATTAGTTAGTTGAGCGCGTAAATATGAAATATTATTCAGGGTAATCAAGGAGTACTGCCCAGTAAAGAAACAGCAGTAACACGACTGTTTCCAGGAACAACCAAGGGAACTAAAAGGGGCATATGATATACCTGAGTGCTTGGGAACGAGAGGACAACACTGGAATTACATTGATCCTGCTGCCATTTTGACAATAAACGACATGACAACGGAGAGCCTGGATTCTCATCAACTTCCTAAGCTCCTTAACAGAGGGGTCCTGAGAAGTCGAACAAATATCATCCCTTGTAATAACATCTAACAAAATAAACCAGGTTGTCTATAAACACCATCATAATCTACTCATCACTGAAAATAAGGAAGACAGTTTACACCCTATAACAGGTAATGAAGAAAATGAGAGCAACAACATTTTCAAGTAAGCATTCAGGAAAGCTACAAACCCCATGGACAATCACCATATCCAAAATATGAAAGACAGGATGTTCACTTACTCCAGACTTGTGAACTTTAAAAGTATAGCAGTAGTCAGCTGAATTCTTTTCATCTTCAACAATGTGCTCTTCTTTTTCACCCTTCTTATCAGAAATAGAAGCTGCCCAACGCACTAAAGTCTTTCTCAACCCTTCTCCACCCCAGCGGTATTCAATGTGGGAATGGTAGTACAAGTCAACTACAAAAGGATTATCTTCAGAATGGAAAGATGAATAATAAAGATCACCACCACTATTGCAAATGAAAGCATCAAAATCAGTAGGATTCATGCCCTCTGAAATCAGAAAAGAATGCACTTCTGATATATTGAATGCAGTGGCCAATATGAACCCTACGGAGCCTTCCATCCTTTCCGCCTCCACAGCTGCAAAGATCTTTCTCACATTTTCAAATAGACCTGTACTGGCATCACAGTCCACTGCTATAACAAATATCTGCTTCCTTCTCCTCAATGCTGGGAACTTACCAGCACTAGAACTCTGGTCTATTTTATCAATTGAAGTTTTGTGAGTGCCCTTCACACCCTTGGACCAAGCCAAGACAGCATTCTCCAACTTATTCTTTCGATCATCAGGGTCGAACAAATTATCAGAATCCTCATTTTTATCACCATCCAATGAAAATTTTAAATTCAAAGATATATCCTGTATATCCCTCAAGGAATCACTAGGTGACTCTGATTCTGAGTTTTCATCATCATCAGCATTTCTCAGCCAACATGGCTGCCTTGGCTTGCAACCTGCTATTCGAGAAAGATAAGTTTTACAATGCTCTGGCCATGAGAAAAGATGGATGTTTTTCAATCCATTTGCCCTGCATTTAGCCCACAGGTGCTTGTCTGCAACCAGTTTCAAAAGAGCATCAGCTATAGCATGCTGATCATGGGGATCAACAAGGAGACCATTGTCAAGAACCTGCAAAAGAAATAAACACACTCGAAAATCTGATCTGTAGAATATTTGTTTAACAGTATACATTCTCAGGACAGACAAACAGAAATTTACCCTATGTATATCAACAGGCCCACCATTTTTTGTGGCAACAATAGGGAGACCATGGGCTGCAGCCTGTCCAAAAGGAAAAATGAGTAATTTTATAATGAAATTTCAACAATTAAAGTTTGGTATTGCATTAAAAAAAAAAAAAAAAAAAAAAACAACAACAACAACAACAACAACCAACCTCAATCAAAGTCAGTCCAAAAGGCTCTATAAAAGCTGGATTGATGAAAACACCCTGCCAAAAGCACAGAGGAAACAAATGACTAGACAGCACATATAAAGTGCAATGTAAACATATCCAAAATAAATAAATAATTGTAATAACCACAGTTACCATAGAGCTCTAGAGCATTTGGTCAACTGAATCTTAAAGAGCCATAAAAATATGACCATGGATGTGTGGGTGTTTGGAAAATGTTTAATTTAAACTTTAAAGAGATGAATAAAAGAGATGGAAAACCTTTGTCTTTGCAGCAAGGCGATAGATATCAGGAACCTCAGACTGCTTGTGATGTTTAGGATAAGCCACTTGACCATATAGGTCATACTTATCTATCATCTTCAGTATAGAAAGAAGAACTGATGCATTGGTGCTCGACATTTCATCAATGTTGTCACGGTTACCCATTATTAGAGTCTGCAAAACATAGAGAAAACAGGAATGACGGACTAGCCAGCTAGATCAGCAGTCAGGCAACACAATGCATCAAAATTTTCAGCGAGAATTATTTGGTAAAGTTCAACTTTCAGACTTACCAAATTAGCAAGCTCCCTCAATGGACGACATTCACCAAATGCCTTCACTAAAGTAGTGAGGTTCTTTTTAGGATCAGGCCTGGCAAGGGCAAGAATCATAGGCTTCCTTGGGTTTGAAAAAAAGCGCATTATCTGTAGAAGGCCAGCATTGAATGTTTGAAAGGATGTTAGACCAACCTCATCAGTGTGCATTTTTTGTTGGTTTTTTCAGGTCCATGTAGGAGAGAGGGGGGAAGAGAGAAGAGGAAAAAAGAGGAAAAAAAAAAAAAAAGATAAAACAAATTCTGACAAAAAAGTTTTTTATTTTAAAAAAAAAATTAAATAACATTTACTGCACGCGCCCAGCTGGGTGCAGCAGTTTCCACACGCGACAGTTGCTCTGTTGCTTTCTCTCCTTTCCCCATTTCAGTGGACCCCACAAAAATTTTGATTTTGCAGGAATAAAAACCCCCAAAAAGCTCCCCTTCCCATTAGTTATAAACCCCTCCCCAATTTTTTTTTTTTTTTCAGAAAAAAACCCCCAAGAACCATTTATGGGGATGCTCTTAGAAATTAAGAAAGGGGGATGGAGGATTGCAGTTTAGCTTAGTGGTGAACTAAGTCCCATTTTAGGTATTAGGCATTTAGGCCTAAGTTCAAAATCCATCTCCCACCAGAAGTTCCCCCAAGAAGAAAAAAAAAAAAGTAAAATCAGATGCATTAGCCGAAATCAAACGTTATAGGAAAACATTATCAATACATTGGATAAAGAACAAAGTCAATTAAAACCTCTGTCCAAATATGTGGGTCAGGGGATTTTCCATCTTCAGATCCCTCTGTTTCAAAATCCATATCACCTTCATGCGGAACAATATGATGAAACTCCATCCCAGGTGGAATTACCTACAGGCAGGTGTTGAATATGTCATATGAAGCAATTCAGCAATCACATGCAACAGACTGGAAAAGAGACCTTAAAGTGGCTGGGCCATCTTTACCAGTTATTCTGTGAGTAAAGGATATTAAATTGAGCACTTGGGGAATCAGCACAAAGTACAAATGTTCATGAAAGAGAAAAAACTTAATCCATGGCAGGTAATAGTTAATGTTTCATCCCTCAAATGTTTATGGATAATGCTAGATGCAGACAAATTTTTGTGAACAGACATAGCCTCATTTGATTACCCTAGGAGTTCGACTCACAAGTAACCAATGAATATCAAGAGTTGTAAAGCCACATCAGCATGTGTAAACTTGTGTATAAAACTTTGTAGGCAAATAGCATCTTCCAATGTTTATGGATAAGAAGAATCAGAACGAAACTGGTTTGTTTAATAAGGTCATTCAAGAATTATATGTTTTGAAGTCTTATACAGCTGAACTAAACCTGAACATGTTACTTGAAACAGAGAAAATAAAATCACTTTATCTGCTGCATAATAACTAGTAATTGCCTACTGGCTGAGCAAAACTTCCCCACTATTACTTTCAGTACGAATATTGCACAATAGCCATCCAGAATACATGCTAATCCTCAGTAAATTCTAATTTAAATGCATTAATCTTCATAGTACTCTAAACAAATTATTTTTAAAAATAATTATTACCTCATGTATTCAATTATACTTATTATTAAAAAATAATAAAAATTTAAAAAGGTTTCATAGGATTTGACTGAAAGGTAGCAGTTTGTGGCAAGCACAGTTAGTCTCTCTATCCATAAGCCACTACAGATTACGCTGGGTTCAAGCCTCAAGGAACAAGGAACAGTATATTGAAAACACAAGCTTCCCATCAAAGCAACAGCTAAGGTTTTAATAAATGTGAGAGGAAACAAATACTTACAACCATGCGCGGCATGAACCTGCCATAGCAGCTGACATTACGTTTGATCCTAGCACGAAGCTTACGCTCTAGTATTGGATCAAACCCATCATACAAACGCCACTGCTCATCTATCTCCTGTCTTGTGCTAGTAATGACAATTTCAGAAGCATCAAGAGATAACTCCTCTGCCTCTATCCTACGCATTATTTTATAGGTTGAATTTATCTCATCCTTTGACAATCGACCTTGTCTCAACAGTTGTTCCAACTTATCTCGTCCAAGTGAGTGACCAGTGAAAAGCATTGGTACATTTAAAGCACCTGACAGAAGAGCAGCAGAGTCACCAGCATCTGCATAATGACCATGTATAGCAACAGGCCACACAGCACGCCCACTACCAATTTGCTCCCCTAGAACTTTTGAAATTTGAAGAATGTGGTTAAGAGCACCATCAACAAATTCAGGGATGTAAGGCCACAGGTCTTCTTTAGGAATATATTTATCTCTAGGTCCAAATGGTATACGAATTATATAAGCGCCACTGCTCTCTCCCGTCTCAGTCATCAAGCCTTCAGAATTTAGCGGGGTCAACATTTCTGTGGGTTCACCATAACTCCAGTCAACTTCTGGTGATGAGACTTGTCTAGTAAGCAGGTCAACCCTATATACGCCCGGCATTGAACCTAGAGCTCTTGCAAGTTCTACAACATACTTCACCTGATATAATAATAATAATAATAATAATAATAATTTAAAAAAATAAAAAAAAATAAAAAGAAGAAGGAAAGAAAGGTTACCCATTCTTTTCCTAGAAAAGGTTATAGTATTTCATGTTCCATGCATGAACAAAGATTACAGGATAGAAAGACTAAAAAGTAAAAATGTGTTAAATTATCATGATTAGTAACAACAGTTTTGCAGACATGTAGAGAAATCTACCTGACCACCAGTATCTGAGTCACGCCCAAGCTCCATATTCTCACCCCGTATTAAGCCATGTAAGCTACAAATAACAATAGGATGAGTAACTGGAGAAAGGGAGTACGTTCCAAATAGGAGTAGGGGGATTTTTGCCAGCGTGTGTGCATTTTTTTTTCCTCCTTTTCCTTTTTTTTTTTTTCATTTTGGAGGGGAAGGGGCAGTGATCAGTTTTGATAATTATCACTTCATTCAAAACAATGTGTCAAAGCAATAGTGTAAAGATGGCAGATTTGTTATCAGACAAGTAAAATCATCAATATTCGCTCTTCATATACCAATACCATATTAGAAAATTAATAGCTTTTCAATGATTCCTCATTGACACAAAATTAAGGAAAAAGGTTTATTCCTTACCTTATAAGTACAATATACAACTTCTTCCCCTTTTGTTGATTGGCCCAAGATTCCATTGTCTCAACAGAACTAATTCTAGGCAATCGGCCTTTAATGCTTTCACCATGGGCTGAAATATCACTGATTGCATCCCCTTTCTCACCTTCTGATAGGTCCTCTGACATATCAGCTACTGCCTCTCTGCGACCCCTCTCACGTTCTTGACGACGCTTAGCCAGCCTCTGAGCTTGCTCTCCCTCAAGCTGCATATAGGTATCAATATAAGTGATAATGTAAATTCCTGGGTAGGCACCAATTATACATATTCATTCTACAATTCCACAAAAAGAAAGTCATGTGGTACAGTCTGCTAATTTTGAAATCTATACTAAGAGCAGTACAGGTCAGGCGTGCCAGGACCATTAGCAATAAATAGAAACCCAAAAAACCTTCAGACAAAAACATGTCTATTTGACAGGAACTCATCAGTGACTATTTTTATTCGGAGGAAAAACAAAGCAAAAAAATTTTATTTATCTAATTGGTGCCAAAGAAACTGCATGAAGTCATGATCTAATGATGGGAAAAATGAAGCATGCATATTAAATTAGAAAAAGCTAAACTGCACCTTAGTTAAGCCTTTAGTAATTAACTTTTGTTTCTTAAATGCTCTTAATGAAAAGCAGTGTTGCAAAAATCCCGCTTAGACACCGATTAATCGGCGCCTAGGCGCTAGGCGTTGGCCAACGCCTAGCGTATAGCCATAATCGGTGGTCTAGGCGGCCGACTAGGCTGCCTAAGCACCGCCTAGGCCTCCTAGGCACCAACTAGGTCACCTAGTCGGCCAATTAGCTTTTGTTCCCTTCTTTAAAATGGATTATTTCACTCAAAACGACATCGTTTTGAGCGAAATAACCCTAAATTGTTCAAACTCTAGATTTTTTTAGGTTAATATTTAATATTTTAGTATTAACTATTAAAGTATTAAATAATTTATAATTATCAAGTCTTAAAAAATTAAAAAAAAAATTATTCAAAATTTTTTGAAAACAAAAATACACGGGCGCCTAGGCGCCGATTAATCGCCGCCTAGGCGCCTAGCGATTTTTTCAACTATGATAAAAAGTTCTTTTAAAGATGAAGAACATAACAGTACTGATGTGCATTGCAGAATTCTACAAAACAACAAACCTTTCATCTCTTAACTGCTCTAATGCAAGTTACATCCAAAGAATTAGGCTGAGTAAATTTGTTTGGACTTGCATGTGACAGAAAAAACTCTTATCATAAATAGTGTGCTTCGCTTAATGATGAATAGCTTTCCTTTGATAACAGTATAGGCAATGCCATTTTTTCTGTGTCTGCACCTTTCAATTAGAGGAAGTAAAAGGCACAGCCTAATTTGTTCAGCCTTCAAAAAGCCAGACAGTTTGTGAGGCAGAAATCGTTGTTTTCAGCTCTAATGTCAAGGAATCCAATTTTGTCTCAGCAAATAATTCATACCGCTTCCGATAAAAAAATATATATATGGTAGAAATTAACATTTCTGGTTTCTTTCCCTAATCCCTTTCAAAGTGTGTGTTTTTGTCATCTTCTCTGTTGACCACAGAGGAAAAGGCTGAAAAAATTCTTATAACTGTTGTTTGATAAGTACCAAGCCCTTTATACTAATCAACCAAATATAAGAACTGGGCCACATTTGGAGTACATTTATCAAAAATTACATTAAGAGATCAACGTGTTCTTTTGAGGTGTTTGACAAGCCAAATCGCGTTAAACATAAGGTCACTCGAATTTGATATTTTGATCTTCCATGATTTTGTCCAAGGATAGTTTTGGGTCAAACATGATTTTTACTTTTGAGTCTTGGGCCAAACATGATTTTTGGTGTTGAGAACTACATTATTCTTCCTAAAGTAACCTCATCGAAATAAAGAGAATGTCCTTTAATGCAGATAAATTTGAGATTTCGCATATGATAACCGCATTTGGGAAGGGTGTCACCATACGCATAAATGTAATGAATTATAATTGAGGACTCCCTAGACCATTACCAAGTTGCCAAATTAGCACTAAGCAGAGCAGATGAAATTAGTGTGCAAAACTGAAAGTAAGGTGCCTATCTATCCATGCTAAGAAAACTTTATATTTTTATAATTTATTTATATGTTTTTTTGATAAAATTTTTACTTCATTATTTTTCCAATTTCTCATTACAACAATAATAGAAGCTACAATAGAAACCAAACCCAAAAAGAGAACAAAAAACAAAACAAAACAAAACAAAACAAAAACAAAAACAAAAAGGGAGAGAAAAAAGAAAGAAGCTACTCTTATAATTTATAATTTATCAACCAAAGTAACTTTCAGCTTTGATCCTATGAACTAATTTATAATTTGGAACTTTAGAGTTAATTTTTCAGCTATATCTTATCAACACTTCAAGAGAACACCAATGCATATCCTTCTCCAATCAAAAAACTAATTATTAACTTACATAAAAACTTCTTTTCAGAAAAGGCGAAGAAAAGAAAACCTGTTTTTTCTGGCGAGCCAAATTCCAAATCCGCCAGCACATATTCTCCAGCCTTGTATTCCGCTCTTGGGGGCTCCGAGTTGCTTGTGCCTATCATCCATTACATTCATCCTTCAAATCACAAACAAGTACATATCCAGACAATCACACATACATATATATAGAGAGAGAGAGAGCGTAACATACTCGGACCCAAGAGCGGTGAAGATCGGTCTCATCAAAGCCGGAGACGACTTCCTCGACGAAGTAACGGGTGGGGCTGAACCTGCCCCTCTCCCTCAGTAGCAGCGATGACTTCGCGTCGTCGATCCCCGGCCCGACATCCAATATCGCCTCCAAGTAACTGTTTATCCAATCATTTCCGGCCATTTCCACCACCACCTTACTCCTCCTTCAGATGTGTCTGTATATATAGATATATAATATTGTATATGTTGATTGCAAATTTCAGTTTTACAGCAGAGGAATGGAGATGGTGCGATAAGGCCACTGAAAACCAGAGAGAAAGAGAGAGAGAGAGAGAGTTGTATATTCCAGCAAGCGAGAGAATATGAGGCAAATATATAGGGAGATTAGATTACGGGAAGCGTGATTTCAGACAGCCGTAAAGATTGAAGAGAATTATAAAAATGTCCCAAACTATACAAAAAATTTTAAATCAGTCCTAAGTTCTAATTCCATCTAATAAAATTTTAGTGTTTTTAGGTACTTCTTTACATTTTTTTTTTTAATTAAGACTGTAATAGAAGTCATAACTGAAAGTGTTCATTTGCTTCATCTAAGTATCTAAATGAAGGAGCATGATTAGTATTATTATTTTTAAAAAATTAAAGATGTTAATAGTGCTCTAAGTGAAAAAGTTTATTTTGTTCATTTAGATCTGAAAGGAGCATAAAATGAATAAATTTATTGTTGTTAACAAATTAGGGTTACCATGATAATTATAATTGAAGGAGATGAATGGATGAAGGAGTAATGAAGATGAAGCGATGTCCTTAGATAAAAATGAAGTCAAGCTACCATGATAACAGTTAATTATTTTTTTTCTTAAAATGGTAATAATACTCAAACTCTCAAGGTCAAGTCGGCAAAGAAAGCATGTGATGTTGTAAATACGTCGAAGTATTATCTTCAGTCTTAATATAGGGTCTCGGGTAACTGAATACGAGGTCAGACATTCCTGAGATTAGATATGATTTGGATGAGAGTTCCAAAAGTCTCATGATTTGGAGGAGACACATGCGAGGGTTCGGCATGCATGTTAGCCGTGTATCCTCCATGCACGGGTCATGGCTGTTCAAATGGCCTTACGTAGCTTGAGATTCCTGACAATTGTATTATTATGATATGATCGGGTGGTGCGTGCAACAGGGCTACGTTTGTTTTAAAAAGCTAGAGGCCCAGTGCTCAGGGTTGTTGTCTCAAAGGGACCATCTTTTGATTAGTCTCGGGTCGGGCCAAATTCAAGGCGATCGATCGTGCTCGAGAGTTGATCCTCTCGGTCTCCTATGTAGATACTGAGCACACGTATAATCATACAATAAATTAAATAATATTCCCTATGAGCATGGGAGTATGAAAAGTGCATTATTACTTACACATTGTATGATTTCTATTCAGACAAACAAACACAAACTAGGTAATATTGCAATGAAAGCACATGAATGTAAATGAATGAGAACATGGGAATTTTTAAATTTTTGTGGCCCCGTTCTTGTAAATAAATGACGCCTTATAAAAAACGCAATCTTTAAAACCAATAGCGTAATTTTTTCTAATAATAATAATGAGGTGGTAATATTGTTGTTAATACGATTATCCCCATCGTAAATAAATACTTGGATCGTTGGTTTATTGGTTTAAGGAATTGTGCTCGGGAATAGGTCATAGTGGGTCAGAGTATCCCGAGCATATAGTAATTATGTGGAAAAATGCCAAAAGTCCTTCCTCTCGCACTTAATGCCATATTTATAGGAGAGTAGAGGGAACAGATATCGAAGGCTCGGCATGCGTGACACGTGTTTCCCATACACAGAAGAAGGTCGAAGGCTCCGCTAATTCCTTCACGCGTGCCAAGGTTCCTGATGCCCTCGTTCCTACCGCGATCGGGTTTGACTAAGGGAATGAGATTTCATTTTCTAAGCAAAGAAGCTCGAGTGGTTCGTCCCGACCTAATATGGTCGGGATGACCCCGAAGGTGGGAAACTACTGCCACTAACTAAACTTTTGCTCGGTCCTTCAGAGCAAGTCAGTTACGTTCGGTTAGTTCTAAGATCGGTAAATGCTCAGAAATAATTCCCTTCGACATTCCGTCTAGATACCGAGCAATTATGTGATACCTATCTAGATACCCAAGCAGGCATGTGATATGTACAGGTAATGAGGCCGGTACAGGTAATGAGCCCTATCACCTTTTATAGGAAGTTATTAACAATGGAGTAGTAGGTATTTGTAAAAACATTGTGGTGAATGATTATAGAAATATAGTTTTGAAGTTTTATTCTTTTAAAACTCTCTCTTGAGTTATAGATCATATACAATAAGATCTTGATCAGTCATTTGCTTTCTAGATCAATTCTTTCCCTTCTTTGACCGATCAGACACTTCTAACCAACCACTTGAGAATACCACATAACTCCATCAATATCAAAATAAGTAAGGATTTCATAGCAAAAGAAAAAAAAATTTATTATGTGAAATTAGAAGTTGATGAATAAATACCTTAAGAAATTTTGTACAATCAACAAAACATTTTTGGAATTAATTCAAACTAAAATTATTAAAAATGATTTAAAATTTTGATAATTGTATTGTACTCTCTACAACTCAATGAATAATATTCTTGCCACATATTTTGATTTTATCAAAGAAAAAATCATGATCCAATTTTATTTTATTTTTACCAATCAAAATGTACTACATTAATATGGGCATTATTATGGGGTAAAAAGTGATAGTAGAATATTCAAATAATAAAATAATAGTCAACACCATCTTAGTTGGATTTACCCAATTGTAACATTATATTGTTATAATCTAGTAAAATATTCAAATAATAGTCAATATAGCCCACCTTTAACCATGAAATTTATATGAATTTATGGAAAATTACAAAAGCATGATATGTTTAATTATAAAACTTTATATTAAAGTCATTACATTAAAAAGGAAAATAATGCCAAAAAGCAACTTAAGAAATAACTTTTCTTTCCATTTATTTTTAGTAAAACTTTTCTTTCCATTGTTAAATCTTCAAGTGAATTCCATGTTCTTGAAATGTCAAAATCAGCAATCTCAAAAATAAGTTGTTTTAGTAGGAACAAAAATAGCAAGTAGAAATTAGGAGAATGTCACATTTAATTATTAAAGAAAAATAGAAGGGTTGAAATCTAATTTAGCAAAGTCCAGCCCTCCTTCCCTAATTTCCAGCTTCTAAATAACGGTAAGTGAAAAATATACTCCTATAAAATAAAATTAACGGTGTGAATTTCGTGAACGGTCGAAAGCGAAGAAGAGGCGTAATAAAAGCTAACGGCGTCGTTATATGGAACATGCAATTGTTGGACAGTTGGCTGTTGGCGCCTGTTACTCCCAGATTGTTCCACGTACCCAGATAGGTACCAAAAAATAATATTAAATTTTTGGAGGGGCAAAATAGTAAATTTGTATAAAGTGTGTCCTATTACACACTCAACATAATAATAATTACTTGGGGGTGATTTGACTAAAGCTAGACGAGGGGAAAGAATATAAAATGGATTATTCGTTATTGTGCCTTTTCAGGTTTACCAAACTTTGAGGACAAAAATACCCCCTTCTTTTGGTACTTCTCCTCTATTTTTCTTTTCTTTTTGGTTAATTAATAATTATGGGGTTGGAAATTTGGAATACAATCAAACTTCTCTTTAAAATTTATTGAGCAATTAATTATTTGATATCATTTACCATATTAGGTGTCAACAGTTATGAAAGGTACACAGTTGCGTGGGTCACGATCTAAAAATAACGTTATTTTTTGTATTTTTATTTTTTATTCCACATAACTTGCTGCAACATACATTTTTATAACCAATAATGTACATTATTCTAACTCATAAAATACATTATCTTACCTAAAAAATTTCATTATTCTAAACACATAAAGTACATTATTCTAACACATAAAGTACATTATTCTAACTTATAAAATTCAATGACTTTGTTTTGGACCCTGAACCACACAATAAATTGCAATTAGGTGTTCCACCAATCATTTCAGACGAGGACTATCTTGTCTTATTAAATACAATTAACATATAACCAGCTTGGTTGACGTAAATGACTATATACTCACGTATGTCCCTTAAAAGAAGTCGGGAGTTCAATACATCTCTCGTATAAAAAAATTAATATGACCAGCACTTTGTCTCTTAATTGGATTAGTATGGTATATATGAGCGAGAATTTAGTCTACGTGTGATGCGAGTTTAAAGGTATTTTCTATAATTGGGCATATTCAAAAGAGTGAGGATTAATTTGAGTTAGGCCCATTCAGAATACTTCGTGAGCTAACCAAAAAAAAGAAAAAAAGAATACAATCAATATATCTCATACCAAAAAAGAAAAAAAGAATACAATCAATATATCACATAAATATTATACGTATTGTTCAAAAGACATTTGCATGTATTAGTGAAATTCAAACCATGATAGTTTGTGAAAAGTGTGGCCTATGACTACAAGCATGCTTGAATTTAATATATCCCCGCGTAGTTAAGATAGAGGATTTCTATATAGGAACAAAGAATTAAAAAAAATTGTTTTTTTATTTTCAAAAAAAAAAAAAATTGTTTATATTTTTTTCAAGCGCAGTTACTAGTAAATTAAATGGCGTGTACTTGATAAATATTGTTTTTCTGTAATAACTTGAAAATCTCTAGGAGAAATAGATTTTACTAGAAAATTCTTAATGGCGGAAACAACATATATTTGAGGCAAAATTGTTTATATTCTTCTCCCAAAATGTTGAACTCCCTAATGTCCCCTTTTGTTTATATTCTTCTCCCAAAAGGTTGAACTCCCTAATGTCCCCTCACACTATGCTCTAACATAACATTTGGGAGGATGTAAATTACGGTGACTTAATTGGACAGGACCAAATGTCAGTGTCCAAAGTGGATCTGTCCACTTTGGACATAATCCTCACACTACTGCTTACTGAACCAGTGAATTAAGGGGGGTGTATTCAATCATGACTTTTGTAGAGTTTTAAAGACTTTTAAAATGATAAATTTTAATAAACTTTGATTGACTTTCATAGAGTCGTTTAAAACTTTTTAAAACTTTGTAAGATTCTATAAAAGTCTATATAAAAAACATTCATAGACTTTTATCAACTTTTTATTTTAAAAAGTCTACAAAAGTCATTGAAATTCTAAATTGAATACATCCTTACAAACTTTCAAAGATTTTGATTCTTATCATTTATAATTTTCTTACAAAATATTTATAATATATCATAAAATTCTTCTTATTATATAGTTCTTCACCCACAT